GAGCATCAGCTGTGGATCAGTTCTGACTCAGCAACATACAACAACACCATCACTTTGTTCCAAATGGAGCTTTATGAAATTTGGTCTTGAATAGGGAGGTGGATGATGTTGAGAGCATTATTTTATTACACTCTCACTCTAAGGAATGATATTTTGGCCAGCGGTAGAGTATTTGAATGTTTATTGATACCAGAAAATAAGAATCTCAACCATTAAAAGGTTCTGCAGACTTTTTGCAGCCTCAGGGATAGCTGTTTCCAAATGTTATTTGACCTGCATTAAAATAGCATCTTCACTGAACTCACCTAAATCACTCAATTAACTAGCGATATTTGGGTTATTTAAGAGCTGCATATGGTTTGAATCCACCAGATGCTCTGCTGCAGAAGGAGGAACAATCTCCTCCTCTGCCAGTCAGATCCGATATGATGGTACACACAAAAAAATGGGGGGGGGGGGGTGAAAAGAGCTGCATAAAAATAGTGTATGCAAACATTAACTGCCTAAGCCTTCTCATATTTATCACATCAAACTGCTTGGCCCAGGAGAATCAGTGTATAAGCCACACTGTGGATTTTGTTTAATGTTGATTAAAAGGCACCAGTATTGATGGATGATGGAGAGCTTTAGTGGCCTAGTGGCAAGGAACTGCACTGCTTACTCAAAGGAAAGCAGTTCAAATCTACCAGCTTCTCCATCGGAGAATGATTGACAGCTCACTTCCTTAACACTAGGCCACCAGTGCTACATCTATATAGGCATGCTTATAAACCTCGTAATTTATCCTGCACTCCAAAAAGGCCATTATTTGAGGCTAAGCTTCTACTCTCTACTTTTCATCACCATATGAGGGAGAATTTATTCCAATAAATGTACCTTTTTGGTCAAAAGGTAAAGCAGTATTGACATTTCAAATGGCTTTAAAGTGTGTAAAATGAGCTTTGCAGTCACCAGCTATTTTCAGAAGTTCGGAAAAGTGGCACCAGTATAATTCAAAGCCACAGCCACCACTTGCCACTATGTTTTGTTACCAGAAGCAAGTGTTGGGGCTCTATGCATTCAATTCTCTTTCTTGACCCAGGAAACTTACCCCTCTAAGGCAGGTGCCCATATTTGTTTGGAAAAAAATACCTTTTTTCATTTTCTGTGTATGGAAGTAGGAACTTCTTGCTGTAAAGTGTCTCATGTAATGGCTTGGTTTACAAGCTCATTTGTCCCTGTTAAGCTCAGGGTATTTCACCACCATCCTGTTTTCACTCCTTATATTATTAGATTACACCTTTTCCTCCACCTCTGATCAGTGTGTTATTGAAAGCATTAATCATCCATGAGTTGTGTAAACATAGCTTTATTAACAAATCTGTTTCTATAAAATTTAGTTGTAAATGGCTGATAAATGGATAATTACATACAGTTTGTGTGAACTCCTCAATTTGGCCTATTCCCTTTTCAGGCCGAGGTTGATAAAAACATAGAACTTTTAAAAAAGAAAGATGAAGAACTCAGTTCAGCTCTGGAGAAAATGGAAAATCAGTCAGAAAACAATGATATTGATGAAGTCATCATTCCCACGGCCCCTCTATACAAGCAGATTCTTAATTTGTATGCAGAGGAAAATGCAATTGAAGACACTATCTTTTACCTGGGAGAAGCCCTGCGGAGGGGAGTAATAGACCTGGATGTCTTTCTAAAGGTATGTCTTCCTCACCTGCTTCCCAGGATTGTGAAACTTGGGTTTAACGAGGCACTGACCGTGAAAACTATAAGGAAAACAGAAATTTTTAAAGGTGGGGGGGTGAGATTCCTTGTCTTACCAAAAGAGAGTAAGTGGGGTATATGGCAATGAGCAGGGTCCTGTCATCAACACAGTACTTAGAATTGACCTGAGGAAGGAAAGTGGACTAGTAGCTGCTGTCCCCCACCCCAACAGGCAGCGTGAAGATGGATGTAATTCTTCTTGTGCCTTAGCTGGTAGGAGGCATAATCAGATTTTATTGGTTCTTGAGGTCATGCCAGTTAATTGAGATCACCCACCATCATACTTTCATTTTCTTAAGAATGTCATTATTTCAGACCAGTTTTCCCAAATCAAACAACTCTGTGGCACTTGAGCCTTTTTGAGTGCTCAAGCCTAATGTTATTGTACTAATATGAAGATCCATTATGCTAAGTATAGTTATTGCTGTCTTGTGAGTTATGAAGAAAATAGGATTTTAAGAACAGTGACCTTTAGATACTTGGTTCACTTTTGTAGTTGAATTGTCTAGTTACTTGCCGATGTCACTTACCTCACTCAGGGTAGGCGGCCAGAGCACATACCTCACTCAGACCTGGTAAAAGGTCTCACACAGACAAGTGGGTGTCAACAGACTCTTAGGAGAAGCTGTCAGTACATTGACCCTTTTTGGGGTGGAACAGCTTCAGAAAGGAAGCTTCACATGGAGGTGCAGGAGAGAAGGAATTGAGCCTTTGCCACCTGCAGAGAACCAGACTAGAGACCAAACTGCCCCTTTTGCCAATTATCAGTTTCCTTCCCCTTCCTTAGCCAAGTGAGAGAATCAGTCATGATTATCAAAGTTTTTTGTTCGCCTTTTGTAGCAATCACGGTAAAACTTCCTTTGGCATGCTGTAGCTAAAATTCCCGAGTCATATCCTATAATGTGGTGCTTCCCCTCAGAGTAAACCTTTCTTAGGTCTCAGAAGACTGCTTAATACAGTTCACCAGCATCAACCTGGGAGAACTAAAAAAGTCACATTTTATATAGCATCGACTCCAAAGGAAGGTTGAGATAGCTAGTAAGTTTAGGGTTCTAAAACCATCTAAATTAAAATGTGTCTGATACTGAACACCTAGGCCTGGATTCTAAACTGTTGACATTTCCTCCCTTCCTAGCATGTGCGTCTTCTGTCCCGTAAACAGTTCCAGCTGAGGGCACTAATGCAAAAAGCAAGAAAGACTGCCGGTCTCAGTGACCTCTACTGACTTCTCTGATACCAGCTGGAGACGGAGCTCTTCTTAAAGCGTTCTTTTCTTCTCTTCTTTTCTCTTAAAAGTAGGTGCCCAGAATAAGTTATTGCAGTATATCATTCAAGTGTAAAATATTTTGAATCAATAATATATTTTCTGTTTTCTTTTGGTAAAGACTGGCTTTTATTAATGCACTTTCTATTCTCTGTAAACTCTTTTTGTGCTGAATGTTGGGACTGACTATGCTAAATAAAATTTGTTGCATAATTTTTGTTTTTATTGGATTCCTTAAAAAAATAAAAAACTTTATAAAGAAGTTTTTAGTTTAGTAAACATGAACCTCATATCCATCTTAAGTTGAAATTTACTGTTTATAGTATATAAAATTAATTTTATTTAATACAGGGTCATTTGCTGTTGTTAAGTGCCATCAAGTCGTAGATGACTCATAGCGACACTATAAACGAAAGACGTGAGCACTGTTCAGAGTTTCCGGAGGCAAGCTGTTTTGGAAGTGGATGCCACTCCTGCTTCCAAATGGGGTTGGAATTTGTTCAACAGCAGTGGAGGTTTTTAATACCACATGGGTATTAGACAATATGGTAATAAATTAACCACATTAATCAAAGGCAAAGTTATAATAGATCTATGAGTGATTGTACTAAAAAAATCAATATGATTTTATAAACCTTCACCCAAGTAAAAATAAAAATATTAACTACCGCATAGGTGAAGATACTTGGTAGTAGTTGTTAAACTATCAGCTGTGAACTGAAAGGCTGGTGGTTCAAACACATAGTTTCTCTGCAGGAAAAAAACGTAGTATTCTTCCATAAAGATTTGCACACGTAGAAGCTTTATGGGATGGTTCTGTTCTGTTCTGTATAGTTGCTATGAGTCAAAATCAACTTGACAGCAATGGACTTATTATTTTTTCGGAAACACACAGAATTTGAACTGAGGTGTTTGACTTTTTCTGTGAAAGGCTTCTTCCCAATCTCTGCTAAGATTTGTTCCTTTCTAGGCCTGATGAAACCATAACTGCTTTCAGCACATGAAAAGGTTGGATTCTTAGAAGCATAGCTACCTGAGAGCATGTTAACTAGGCAGTTTGATCAAGTCACAATTAAATGGGTATTGTGAGAAGAAAATTTGGAACAACGGAAGATAGAGTGTACAATGCCTCCCTGCTTTTACTGTCATTTGAACTCAGTCTCTATAGGAGTGTTGGCTTGCCGCCAGGTTTGTACCCAGTCAGCCAGCAAGCTGCTGTGCATCCCATTGAGTAATACAGTACAGCAGTGTTCTCAGTCACAGTGCTGGCTCTCGAAGGTTCATGAGGTTGCAAAGAAAGAATATTCTGATTTAAGAGGATGTTTTCTTTTAAAATCTAGATAACTCACTGTATACCCTTCCCCAAGAAAACAGTAAACTTAGTGTCAGTCATCATTGAGGTGGGTTTATACAGTTTAAAATCTTTGCTTTAAAAAGTACAGTCTAGTCACAAAACCAGAATGAAAAGTAGCAAGATCAAATCAAAGTTTGTTTATTCAGTATTAGGATTAGAATTAACATTTAGTTATTTTTTAGCTATGTGTACATAGCTTTCTATTTTTACATTATAGAGGAAGTCATAAATTTTAAAATACTATATAAATAAGCACAACTATCAGCCAGAACAAAAAACAAAAACAAGAAAAAAAAATACTCTTGATTAAAAGAATCAGAATTTCTGTAAGAGTAAACACATTTTACATTCTTTTGAACCAATTGGCAGCTACTGGGGAATACGACAGGCAGCTCAGAGACACCAAAAACACTAACTGCATGCAGTCACTTGAGAATTGGGGAAAAATCCCAGAAACAGCGTATCATCTAGTGTCTGAGAGCTAGAAGGTTAAATAAACAGGGAAGACCTTCTTCCTTTTCTCATTGCCAACTGTAGGAATTCATATTTATTCAAAAGTTTGATGTTTATAATTCTAGAACTATTTTTCTCTAAGTAACATCAGTGTGGGAGCATTCATCAACTTTAAAGCTTGAGCTCCTTCTGAATTGCCCAAAGTGTTTCTGCACTCTTCTTTAAATGAGCCGCCTCTTCAGGGGTTAAACTTAAGTTTATAATGTCTGTAATGCCATTCTCTCCCAGGATACAAGGAATACTGAGGAAAACTTCTTCCTTTATTCCATAGAGGTCCTGAAAGTAAAGACTTGAGTTTTTATTTTTTCTACCGGAAGTCTAAAATATGAGACCCAGAAATTGGTGGGTGAATGAATGGGTATTTGACGATGGGTAAATACAGATAATGGCAGAGAAACCCATTTTTTTTAAACTTAACTAGACCTTTTATTATTCTGATTCATCAGCCATCTCTCCACATAGGACCAGTCTCTTGCTGTGCTTTCTGAAACCCAGCCATCACTATCCTGCCTACTTGCCTCAAAACCACTTTTTAATTGGAATCATATAATAATTTCTGTTCTCTCCCGCCCCCAGTAATTTAGTTCAAACTTGCTTTAATTGCACCTATCCAGACTAGGGAGGGAGCTCTGGTGGCCTGTCCTGCAATCCCAACAAAGTTGCCCTGAAATCCCGACGACATGCAGTTTAAATCCACCAGCTGCCATATGGGAGAAGGATAGGCAGTATCCTCCCGTACAACTTACTACCTCTGAAAACTCCCTGGACAGTCAGCTAACAACAGCAGCCTACAGACTAGTGGAGGGATCTTGCCCACATCCCAATCTCCCCAAGATCTTATCTGGCAATGTTTTGATGACTGCTTTTTCCCTAGTCTCTTCACAGAACATAACTGATGTGTTAGAGAATTCAAAATGAAAAGATCACTACTCATAATGATTCTTGATATGAACTAGATATTTATAGTTTGTTCACTCAACTAACTCCTAAAGGTGCAAGAATTTTTTACTAACTGAATATAAGAAGTGCTGCTGGACAGACAAAGGTACACTGAACTAGAGTTCTCAACTGCAACAGGATAATCGCCTGTTAGAAGTGCTTCCAAATAATTCACCTCAAAAATAAGAGGTGATCAGTATTTTTACTTTATTTTCTATTAGTGATTTTTCAGACATGAGCATCTACCTTAACTATGGTGGAAACAGGATGCACTCTTCTAAGATTCTTCAAAATGCTTTCTGCTAAATCAGCTACAGATAGGCCAATGGCCCAGGAAGTGTAACCTTTCCTTTTAATAACCTCATAGGCACTGTGGAGTGAGAAACCATGAACATAACAAATTAGAAGAAATAATTATTGAACATTCCTTTTTATATCACTTCCTTAACAAAGTTACAAAACTAAAGGATTTCCATAAGTCTCCTAGCAGTTTCTTAGAAGAATTTTACTTAATGTTAATTTTACTTAGTGTTAACATTTGCATTATGAGTGTATATATACTCCTTGCCATTGCATTACTGAACCCGCAGTAACCCTGTAGGACAAGGTAGAACGCCCCTGTACACTTCCTAAGGCTTTAAGTCTATAGGGAAGTAGAATGCTTCATTTTTCCCCTTGGGATAACTGGTGGGAATACATAACGAATAGTACACACAGCTGGCTTTAACACACACTTTATCCTCTTTAACATTTAGAAGATTAGAAATCCGAATTCAGGTGCCAGCTCCAGAGAGGGGTTCTTAGTTCTAGAGAACAGACCTTGTTTCCTCCCGCACCTGTAGTCCAGCATTCCCTGAAGAGCTCCTTCTGTCCTCCCCTGTGACTAGGAGTTTTCCCAAACAGGGATCCACTCACTCCCTGCTCTTCTGCCTTAGTGATACAGAGGTTTGCCCTATTTGCTCATCTCTGTCCTTTTATATCTTGTGAGAGAAAAGGTGTTCTTACAGGCCATACCCCAGGGGTAGTTCCCTTACATGGATTGGGGCTGTTGTGAGATTAAGGGTGTTAATCCTTTAACAATCGTTTCTGATCACAGGAAATCATTACATAGCTTCTACATTACATCATATTTTGAGGATATTCAATTTAGTCCATGACATACCTCTCTTTGGCCCCGTCAAAATTCATGTCCTTGTTAAAATGAAAAAAAAAAAATCCTCTCATCATCCACCATCCCAGAAGTCTCCACTCCAAGTCTAAATTCCCTCCTGTGCAAAATTCCTCTTTATCTGTGAGTCTAGAATATAGATTACCTACTTTCTTCCTCAATCACTGGCTACACGTCAGAGAGCTAGACCAAGAATAAGGATGACAGAAGAATTGATGCCACTGTGGTAGTGAATATCCCATGGACTTCAAAAAAACCGTTAGATATATCTTGGGGGTAAATGCAGCCACAGTACTCCTTGGAGGCAAAGACAGCAAAGCTTTGTCTTTCATACTTTGAATATAGTAGCTTAGGTAGGTGAGACTATTCCTTGGAAAGGGATATCATGCTTGGAAAGATGAAAGGTCAGCATAGGAAAGGAAGACCCTCAAATGAGATGGACTGAAATGGTAACTTCAACAGTGGGCTCCAGTGTGTCAGAGATAAGGAGGATGGCACAGGATAGGACTGCGTTTAAATCAGCTGTTATAGGGTCGCCATGAGTTGTACCTGACTTGATGGCACCTAACAACACAACTTCCTCCCTTGCAATTTACTGCCTCTGAAAACCCGATGGAGGGTCAGCTATGCATAGGTTCCAGCATACATACGGCACACTACAACAACAAAATACAATGGTAAGAACAGAAGCAAAATAAGCATTTCCATTACAAATGGAGAAAAAGAAAAGATAACAGGCACCAAGCAAGTCAGATACCCAGCAGAACAATTTCTTTTAGCTCTCAAGCCTTCTAAATAATCCTCTCTTCTCTGAGACTGTTGAGGCAGATCACCTTCTGCTTCCTGGTTTCTCGGTCTCAAAGGGGCCAAGCCAGTCTCTTCTCTATTCCAGCAAATGTTACAAAGCTCCTTGGATCTTTGTGTGCAGAGACAGCCCAAACCAACCTTGCTCCCTAGCTCTCATGGCAGGCGTAGCTCTAAAGACAGCTGCTTGTCGGCATTCCATTCCACCAGCAGCTCTCTTGCTCCATGAGTCAAAGGCCATGTCATCATGCACTGGCATCCATCTCAGGGCCTCTTGTTACGCTGCTGCTGTTTTTTCTGCTGCTGCTTTTCATCATCTGTACCCTCTCCAGTATTCAAATTCTACCTTCCTTCTGGGCCTTCACCAAAAATGCCTTGCATGGCCACAGTTCGCATGGTCTCATTAGAGCAGTCTGTTGTTATGTGCCAGTGAGCTGGAAGCAACTCATAGCTTGCTGATCCTCCAGCAGGTTTTCAGAGGCTCTTAATCACACAGGAGGAGACGGCCCATCTTTCTCTCCTGGAGCAGGTGGTGGATCTGAACTGCATACTTTGGGATTGCACTGTTCTAGTTCAAATGAGTGGTAACCCTACCTCCTCACTCCCAGCAGGCCTGTTCTTCCCATACTGCAGATCCAAATTGGTAAACTATCATCTTTGAAACAGGCAACTGTTGCCAGGCCCTATCCTTAGAAACTCCAAAAGCCTTAGCCCCACATAAGAGTTGCACATAACTGTATGTAGCACAAGGCCACTAGAGCTCCTTTTGAAGCTTACAAACAATTTCGGGTTTTGGTACTGTTGTTATTCAATGCCACAGAGTCACATACAACCTTTAGCAACCCTGTGAACAACAGCTCTAAACCCTGCCCCATCCTGCCATCCTTATCATCCCTGACACAATTGAGCCCATTGCTGCAGTCACTGGGTCAATCCATCTCATTGAGGATTTTCCTCCCTTTCACTAACCCTCTACCTTTCCAAGCAAGATGTACCTCTCCAAGAACAGCTTCTCCTAGAAACATGCCCAAAGTATGTGTGATGGAGCTTTATTGTCTTTGCCTTAAGAAGCATTCTGGTGCACTCTCTACAAGACACCTGTTCTTTTGACTTCTAGTTGTGTGCCACCGAGTCAGAATCAACTCACAGCTGATCCTCTAGCAGGTTTTCAGAGGCAATAAATCACAGAGGTGGAGAGTGCCCATCCTTACTCTCTTGTCAGTCCAAGGGATATTCAGTACTCTATTCCAACACCACAGTTCAAAGGCATCAATTATTCTGTCATCTTTATTCATTGACTAGCTTTCAGGTACATAGCAAATTATTAAAAAGACCATAGCCTAAATCAGGCACACCTTAGTCTTCAAACTGACATCACTGCTCCTTAATTATCTGGAGAGATCCCTGACAGCAGACTTGTCTAACACATTGTCTCAATCTCCTAACTGTTGGTACCAAGAGTTTGAATTGTGGATCCAAGTAAGATGAAATCATTGACAGCTTCAGTCCTTTCTCCATCTATCATGATGCTACTTACTGGTCCAGTGGTAAAAGACATTTGTTCTCTTGATGTTGAGATGTAATCCATATTGAAGACTATATCTTTTATAAGCAAACATTTCAAGTCCTCACTTTCAGCAAGTAAAGTTGTGTCATCTGCATAATGTAAGTTGTTATGAATCTTCATCCATTCCTGATGCCACTATATTCCAATCTTCTTCATAGAGTCCAGCTTCTCAAATTATTTGTTTAGCATACAGACTGGATAGGTAGGGAGAAAGGATACAACCCTCACACACACCTTTCCTGATTTTAAACCATGCAGTGTTCCCTTGCTCTATTCAGACAACAATGTTTCATTTAAACATAATTAAGTGTTCTGAGATTCCCATTCTTCTCAATGTTAGCCACAATTTGTTATGATCCACACAGTCAAATGCCTTTGCATAGTAAATGTAACACAAACATTCTTCTGGTATTTTGTGCTGTCAGCCTGGATTCATCTGACATCAGCAATGATATCCCCTGTTGCCACTACCTTTTCTAAATAAACCCAGCTTGAACTTCTGGTAGCTGTTTTTCGATGTGCTGTTTCAGCCATTTCTGGATGATCTACAGCAATATTTTGCTTGCATGTAATATTAAGTATATTTGTTTGATAATTTTCACAGTTATCACCTTTCTTAGGAATGGGAACAATATGGATCTTTTCCAGTCAGTTGGCCAGTAAGCTGTCCTCCAGATTTCCTAGCATAAGCTAATGAGCATGTCTAGGGCTGTATCTGTTAGCTGAAACACGTCAGTTGGTATCCCATCGACTGCAGGGGCCTTATTTTTTGCCAGTATACCTTCAGTGCAGCTTCACTTTCTCCTTTCGTTACCATTGGCTCATGTTCATATGCTATTTTCCTGAAATTTTTTAAGGTCATACATTTGATACAGTGACTCTATATATTTCTTCCATCATCTTCTGATGCTTCATGATCATTCAAGATTTTGCCCATAGCTTGAGGTTTGATTTTGCTTTTCAGTTCTTCAAATTTGAGAAATGCTGAGCGAGTTCTTCCCTTTTTATTCTCCAGTTCCAGTTCTTTGCACATTGCAGTGTAATACTTTGTTTTGTCTTCTCCAGCTGCCTTCTGAAATCTTCTGCTCATTTCTTTTACTTTTGTGTTTCTCCCCTTTGACTTCTCAGTGTTCTAGTGTAAATTTTTTTTCAGTCTCTTCTATCATCAATTGTGGTCTTCCTCCTCTGTAAGAACATTTTACTCTCTTCATAAATTAATTCATCTGGTCTTTGGTCATTAGGGTTCATGCCTTGAACCTATTCTAAAAATCTTTATATTCATTCCTAGACTAATATATATATTAATATTCATATAAAATAACATTAACATATTAAGTTTAGGTGAATATATTAATATTGCATACTACTAATACATTAATATAATAACTATATATTCCTTCAGGCAACAATTGGATGGATGCTATGTGCTAGACTTTAGGTTAGTCTCAGCAGTGGCTAAACCTCCATCCCTGACTACTTAGGTATTTAACTCTTATAAATAAAAATAACATAGTCTCACAAAAATAAACATTAATTTAGTAATTAAAGAAAAGTATGAGAACTTGGTTGTTACCATGTGCCGCTGAGGAACTGACTCATAGCTGACCATCCAGCAGGTTTTCCGAGGCAGTAAATCATATGGAAGGAGACTGCTCATCCTTCTTCCACAGAGCAGCTGGTGGATTCAAACTGCTTGCCTTTGGTTTGACAGTGCACCTCCTGACCACCAAGCCACCAGAGCTCCATGAGAACTTCAGCAACACTTAAAAGGTTTAAATTCATCCTCTGGTTGAGTATCATTTAGGCACGCAGTTGACTTTTATGGTGCTAAAAGTGTGAAACTAACATTACCTGGCAATCACTTCTTTATGAATATTTTTCCACTGTTCCCAATCTTTATCACTTCCTAGATTCGTCAGAGCTACACCAGCAATGTTAACTCCACTCCACACAGCAACTTGGGAAAAATTTCCAAAGAATACACTTATTACATCATGTCGTATTATTAACAGAGGCTTAGGTTGTTTATTTTACCTTAGTAAAATGTTCTATACCCTTGATTTTCAACTGGGAATATTCAACATGTACCATCAAATAGATTCTGACTGGGACAGTAGAACTGACCAATGAGATTATCAAAGCTGTAACCTTTAGGAGACTGCCACTTCTTTCAAGCAGCTGTTTGGTTTGAGCCACAGAACTCTCCATTAACTCTCCAAGCACTTAACTACTGTGCCACCAAGGCTCCTTATTAGTCACATCAAAATTCAGTTGTCTGTGAGGGCGCTCTTGTGGTACGTGGTTTGAATCCACTAGATACTCTGGTGAACAAGGAGTGGCCTTCTCCTCCTGTACCAGTCAGATTTGATTTGGTGGTATACACACATTTAAAATTTTAAAAAATTAAATTTTAAAAATCTTTAGTTCGAATCCACCAGATGCTCTGCCGGAGAAGGAGGGGCCATCTCCTCCTGTACCAGTCAGATCCGATTTGATGGTACACACACATACAAACAAAAAAATTTAAAAAAATTTAAAAAAATGTTTAAAAACAAATTAGGTGTCTGAGACCCGACTCAAGAGCTACTAAGTTCAAATCTCCAGGAAAAGGGCTCACAGTTCTACTACAGTTGGAGCATTTAAGCTCCGCTGCCAACCCAAAGGAATGTGCTGCTAATCCACCAGCTTCTCTAAGGGAGAAAGTGGACAGTATCCCCTCAAGTGATATGCAGCCTTTGAAAACTCACTGGAGGGTCAGCTGGGAGTCAGTCCTATGGAAACACTAGGTAAGTTTTATCTTCAGTCCTAACCCAAAGCCAGGGTTTTTATTAGAAAAATTTCAAAGGCACTTAACCAAAAATAACTAAGAAAAAAGACTGTAGTCACCATAGCATCCTTTTCCCCTTCATTGTCTCCAGTTATGCCTGTTTCTTAGTATGAAGAATTAAAATTATTTTAATTACAATACTGAACTAGAGAATCACAAGTAAAATATAAATCACATTATGTTACTTACTCTTTGTTATAAGAAAGCCTTACAGTTTTATCATTCACAATTAAGGTTATATTAATATTGTCATTTTTTTCAAATTTAAATGGGTTTTTGGCAGAACTATTTTTATCATAAAAATAATAAATACTAAAAATGAAGAAAAGGGTTTTTTTACCCATCTGGACTACTTTATGACCAAATCTCTATATGATGATATAGTGGCAGTACTTTTCACAGCATATGTAGGGCTCAGCAGTGCTTTAGGCTCACCACTTGAGTCACCATGCTCGCCAAGGATCCACCCGTGACAGCTTTCAGAGTGGATGCCAAGTCTTCGCCCAATTAAGTAACGAAAACGAGCAGTATCCAAATTACAGCCACTTCCAATAACACGGCTTTTGGGAAAGTCACTCAACTTCCAGACCACATAAGTTAATATATCCACTGAAAAGAAAAAAGTCAAAGTTCTCATTTAAAGTGGTACATTTTTTTAAAAAAATCTATCTAAATTGAAGCTCATTATCAAGAAAACAAAGATTCTCACCACTGTGCCAATTGGCAGCATGCTTTGCTCCACAGTTAACATTCTTGGTACCAGCAGCCAGGAAATTAAGAAAAATTGCATAGGGAAAGTCAGCTGTCAGAGACCTCTCCAAAGTACTAAAGAGAAATTATGTCAGTCTGGAGACTAAGATGCACCTGATCCAGGCCATAGTCTTTGCAGTTATTTGCTATGCATCAAAAATCTGGACAGTGACTAGGGAGGATAGACGGAGAATTGATGCTTTTGAGCTGTGGTGCTGGAGAAGAGTATTGAATATACTTTGGACAGCCAGGAGAACAAACAGGTTCGTCCCAGAGAGGGTGAGACCAGGCTCCTCCTTGGAGGCAAGGATTCTGAAGCTTTGTCTGACATACTTTGGATATGTTTCAAGGAGGGATCAGTCCTTGGAGAGGGACATTATGCTTGGAAGGGTGGAGGGACAATGCAAGAGGGGTAGCCCCTTGATGAGATGGATCGATTCAGTGACTAGGGTAATGGGAGTGGATGTGTCAGAGACAAAAAGATGGCACAGGATAGACCAGAGTTTAGGGCTCTTTTACACGGTCACTATGAGTGTCACAGGTGACTCGCTGACACATTAACAACATCTAAATTGAATCTTTAATTAACCATAAATTATTTTGTGAGGAAAAATAGTAGTTGTAATCAACATCTAACAATAGGAATTCCTATAGACCTAAAAGGATTAAGTTATCAAAAGTGTACATAGTCAAAACAATTATGAGATATCATCACACTCCAGTAAGAACAGCAAAATTTAACAGAACAGCAAACACCAAATGCTGGCAAGATGGTGGAGAAACTGGAACCCTTATTCACCGTTGGTGGGAATGTAAAACGGTGCAACCACTGTGGAAGACAGTATGGCGCTTTCTCAAAAAGTTGCAAATAGAAATACCATTTGACCCAGCAGTTCCACTACTGGAAATATACCCTAAAGAAACCAAAACTGCCACCCAAGCAGATATATGCACACCCATGTTTACTGCTGCTTTGTTCACAATAGCAAAAAGTTGGAAACAACCTAAGTGCCCAGAAACAAATGAATGGATAGAGAAACTGTGGTATATTCACACAATGGAGTACTACGCTGCATTAAAAAACAAGGAACTCATGAAATAC